TCCTGGGGCAGCTAAGATCTAAACTTGTAGCTGCAATGATGAGAGCTATTCCAGGTGATTATTTCATTCTATAGCATAAAGAGTTTTCTCTTAAAATTTTCCAAGGGTCTTTTCAACTTTGTTTCTTTACTTCATTTTTTTTTTGCACCTGGATTGAACTCAGGGGCACTTGGCCACTGTCACATCCCCAGCCCTATTTTGTTTTATTTAGAGACAGGGTCTTACTGAGTTACTCTGTGCCTCGCTATTGCTGAGGCTGGCTTTGAACTCTTGATCCTCCTGCCTCAGCCTCCCGAGCCACCACACCCAGCCTTTACTTCATTTTTTTTGAAGTGGAGTACAATCTTCATGAAATTTATCCAAATGCATCCTATTTATCTAGAGTAGCAGGCCGAGTTTCTATGATGTTAGATCACTAAGGATATGAAGGCACCCTTCTTTTATCTATTTAAGGTACAATAGTTTAGGACTCCCACCTGCTATTGGGCCCACAAAAATTTAATCCTATTCTTCTAATGATGATATCTGGCATTTCCTTATATCAAGAGAATCCTAGTCAGAATATGGAATTTCCTTGACACTTTTCAGTACTAACCACACCTAAATCTTTCTCAGTATTTGGCTGTTATTTTTTTCTCCTGTGTAAGTTGTTTTCATGTTGCTTAAACAAAATACCTGAGGCTGGGTACTTTATAAATGATTTATTTGTCTCATGATCTGGTGGATGGAGGGTCCAAACAGCAGTATGCCAGCATCCTGGTGAGGGCCCCCTTGGTCTGTGTCACAACGTGGTGGATATTTGTAAAGAGAAATAGCCTCATGCAGAAGGGTCCAAGGTATGTGTTGGCTCCTCTATATAAAAATATGCTATGGTGACAACTCCTGTGAGACTCAACCATACTGCAAGACGAGCATTGATCCATATCAGAATGGAACCCTTATAACCAATTACTTTCCATAAGGACCCACCTCTTAAAAGTCCTACCACCTCAGCGTTGCCACACTGGGGACCTAGCTTCCCGTCCATCAAACTTTGGGGGACAAACCATACCAAGCTGTAAACTTCCCTTGTTTTGACACCATATTCTTGCTTCTCCTCCATCTGATCATTCCTTTTCTGGATGCTTCGCCTCTGTTCTTTGAAAGTGTTCTCCAGGGCACGAACTTTGGCCCTCAAGCCTTCTGACCCCATCACATTCACACTGCAAAGCTTCCTGGGATTCTTAGGACAGCCAAATACCTTATTTGAGGTAAGCATGCCCCTAATGGACACTCAGTAGCTTTGCGACAGTACTTGGCCTTGGATGAATAATATCAACTCACAGGTACAAATAACGGAGACAACTTTCTTAGGAAAACTTCCAGCTACTTTATTTGCCCTGAGGTAGGAAGTAACAGGAAGAACCTTGTCAGGAGTCTTAATTTTCCAATTTTTTGTTTTGTTCTGATTTAGGAACACTTGCCTTGAAAAGCAACTCCTGAGCTTGTTTTCTGAGACTTCATTGTTTATCCGAATCCATTTTCGACGGGAAGCTCCCAAGTGTGCTGGACTACAGCGACCCGGTTCACCGAGCCGCCCCCAGCACCCGCCCCGGGCGGCACGTTAGCTGTGTGGGGTGGGGAAGGCTGGGGGAGGGCGAGAAGAGTGCAAACTGCGACGGGGCGTCCCACTAGAGGGTGAGAGGAAGGAAACGGGTCACGGCTGACTCCGCCGAGAGATCCCGCACCCAGGAAAACTACACTTTGAAGAGCGGAGGCGCGACACGAGCTTCAGGGTTTTCACCTTGCCTCTTCCCTGGGTTCCGAGGAGGAAAACAACCCGAGCACACGCCCGGCCCAAAGGGCGGGGCTTTTGTGATGTAATGAGCGGGCCCGCGCAGCCGCAGTGTGCTGGCGGCGCTCCTTACGACCAGAAGCCACGCCCCTTACGGGAGCTGCGGGAACGCGCCTGGCTCTGTCACGCAGTCGCTTTCGCGCGGTGTAGGTGGTGCTAGAGGCCGCCTAGGGGGTTGTAGGGTGACGGCGCTGCCGCCATTTTGTAGGGTGTTTGTCGCAGCGGCTGGAGAGGAACGACGGCGGTTTGGCGACATTTTTCGGCCAAAGGGCCTTTTGCTTTCGCAGAGGTGAGGTTTCGGGTGTGATGTGCTGGGCTAGGCTACTGTCGAATCTTATTTTAGGTCTCGGAGCCAGGTGTTCGAGAAACGACCGGTTCCTGGCCTTGGCCTCTGGGGACTGAGTTGGCGGTTCCTGCGGGGTGCCGCTCCGTTGATGGCCTTAAAAACCTGAAGGTGCTCTGGCGTCGGGGTCCTGCCGTAGGCTCTAAATTAGCCCCACGGTGTTGACCCAAGAGCTCGGACTCTATAATAGACACTGCCAGGGCCGCGAGTGCTAGGTCGGTCCGAGAGTGCGAGGTCGTGTCCGGAGACCCTGCGAGGGGCCGGTCGCTGGTGTTTGTGTTGTCGGAGATCGATTCCCCCGCCCCCAGATGCCTGACCTCCACCGTTTGTAGCTTTGGGGGGCTTTTCCCTAGTCCAGCGTTTGTCCCTGTTTGTACGCCAAAGCCTCTGGCCAGGTGCCCGGGGCGGAGAGGTGGGTGGGGATTGGGTGAATCCAGGTGGTGGGATGCACCTAGTGCAGGTAAGAGGTTGAAACGTCGGGAGATTCGTCCTTTGTGCAATACTGCCCCCCCCCCCCCCCCCCCCCCCCC